AAAAAAAAAAAAAAAAAAAAAAAAAAAAAAAAAAAAAAAAAAAAAAAAAAAAAAAAAAGAGCCAAATAAGAAAACAATCAAAGCCTTTTTCCACTTACCGATAGTCATGTTGGCTCTGCCGAGTGAGTTAGCAATCGCGCGAGTGTCGATCAACAGCAAAGCGTGGCCGCTCTTCAATCACAACCTCCTCTGTTTCTACTCTCTCACGATATCTCCCTTTTTCCTTCTCTCTTTTTCTCTCGCTCCCCTCCAGCTTTGCCTCTCGCGTAATACACACCTATACGTTGTATTATCATGTAAAACGTATACTTATGTCAGGGAGATCGAGAAACTCGCGATGATGGTATAGCCACGATAATTATATTATACATATATTTTTCATACCCCCTGCGTGGTTTACTTTACATAGTATACATATACACATACGAATCATCGAAGGCCATTTTATTACATATACACATCACGTAGTTGATCCGCGTGTGGTTTAACGATCATCGGTTAGCACATATTTCACGTGTTATTTCTTGTTTATCGCAGCATCGTTGCGCAGGACTTTTATTTTGTCGCTATACGACTGTTAACTTGTTTCATATTTTTACCATTACGCGCGATATAAACTGATAATTTCTATTTTCGTTGCTTACATACGTTACACAGGTGCTTTTTGGTAAAATTGTAGATCGCAAAACGCTGATTGGTACTTTAGCAGTGTTTATCAAAGCTCGTTTTTGTTGTTATACATGTGCAATTCTTGCGATACGTGTGGTTTGTAATTATTCATCGATAAGAAAAGCCCCGGGTAAATAACTGATGCGCACATTTATCACAGATTGCTCTGTTGCGTATAATTGTGCCAAACGAGTGCCCGAAAAGAAACAATCGGATGACACGTCAATCGTATACTCGTGCACTTTTATGATTCACCGCGAATGAAAATATTTACCTTTTTTTCTTGTCTCCGATGATATTATTGGGCCGAATACCAGTTTCGTTTTTAATTTCCATCGTTAAAAGCTTCGCCAACACGCGTACATGAACATGTTGAGCAAGGTCTTTTTCAACATTTCTCTTGTCCATCGACTATTCAATTATAAAATGTTTTCAAGTATTTTTCAAAATTAATTTTTTCGCACTGATAAGGCAACTGTTGTTATGGTTAACGGAGTGCACTTACTTTATCAATGCCCCCGGGCAATGGTTTCGAAGGCAAACATCGGGTCGATCGACGATACCATGTGGTTCGCGTTATTTTGCTCAACCCACCGTTATCGTGTACTATTGCAGCAAGAAATGCGTTTTTTTTTTTTTTTTTTTTTTTTTATCTCTTGGAAAATGAAATATTTTGCAATTGATTTTTTGAAAAAGTATATTGTCGATCGATTGTCGAACTATTAATACACAATCTTTTACGCGTTACTCAAAGGGGAGAGTCGAAAGAAAGAATTAGGAAACAATTGTGTACAATTTTATCTTATCGAAATAGCAACATCCTGTATATTTTTGGCAATAAGCAGAGAGCTCGTATAGTTCACCAATGAGTACGAGACATCTCGGGACCATTTATTTTTTTTTTTCGTGTTAAAATTCAGAGCTAGTAATATGGATACTTTTTCCTTCGTTATCAATTGTTGGGTTTAAAATAAATCTTTGTGTATACATAACTAATGTGTTGATTGGCTGACGCGTATTTTATGTTTCATTCAAAGTAGCTTTTATAGTATACAATATAAATAGGAAGGAGAAAAAAAAAAAAAAAAATCGGTTCGCTAAGCAAAAGCAAAACAGAGCCAGGGGCACCCGCGTGTAATACAAGGAGGAGGAGAGTTTAGTCGTCGTCGACTATCGTGAGAACAAGGCGACTCGCTCGCGTGCGCATAATAAGCAACAAAACTGACTTTCGACTCGGTTTCGCTCGCCACTCGTACACCGAAGCCTCGAGGAGTCGGGTGTATACCCATGTCGCGTCAATTGCGCTCCATCAGCATACACCGCATGTGTAGCACACATAGTTTACAAAAGTAATATCACATCAGTGCGTGCGAGTGTAATACCGATCGACGAGGGTTAACGTGGGACGATTTTATTCTTAGAGCGGGAGATATCAAAGCGACTGGGCTGCAGGGCTTCCATATCTGCGCGCACGTGGTGAGTTGAATCGGCGATTCACGATTTTTCCTTTTGGCGTTTGTACACCCCTTAAGTAATACGTAGCGTTTTCTCGACTAAAACAAATTGCCGATTTTTTGGACCAACTCGTTCGTTGTGTGCTTTTCCAATTCGTCGATTGATTGGAGGGTTGCTCCGAAGAGCCAGGGGATTTATTACCAATCGGTAAAAAAGGCTCGATCTGATGTGCGTGCACGGATTTTTTTTTTTTTTTTTATTTGAAAAATGTATGATATATTAGGGGTCAAGTTTATATTATGCGTGAAACTTGGGTAACATTGGAACGCAATTAATTTCCAAAAAAAAATTTGTAAAGCCGGGGAAACTATGAATGTCAAAACATAATTAACATTGTGTCAAAAATTGTGTCCTGTCCGCTTTTTTTGATGACACATTAGATTATTGGAAAAGTACATGCACGGTCATTTTCCGGGAGCGATAAGATTTTAATACGTGCATAAACAACAATGATGATTTAATTAATTTGAGGACACTTGTGTAAATATTTACTTGTAATTTCAGTAAATGTGACTACTTTTAACAACATAGTTTTTGAAAAAACTAACGCATAACGGGTATGAGCGTGCCAAAAATATTTAGTTGCATCGCAAGGTGGGCGAGATTTAAATTTAGTAGAAGGGACATCGCCTTATTTTTTGGTAACCTTTGGAGCAACAACCTACATATAATTTTAGGACCTGTTTCTACAGTCATGATTTGGGCTACATTGAAAGAAGCACTTATGAATTAAAAAATACGTATCTGAATCGTTGGGTGAATTTTTTTCATACAGGGTACGATTAAAATTTTTCCGCCCTCGGGTGGTTTTGGGAGGCTCGTACTCCCTCGGGCGAAAAAGCAGTTTTCCGGAACTCGTTCGAAAAGTCTCCTTCACGAACCTCGTTACGTCCCTCGCCTTCGGCTCGGGCCGCAAACCTCTCGGTTCGCAAACAAAGACTTATCAAACTCGTAGGAAAACTACTATTTCGCAATAGTGTGCGGAAAATGGGTGTTTTCCGCACTGGTATTAGTGTGGAAAATCGATTTTCCCACACAGTGTGCGACAAAGGTGTGCGGCAGAGGTTTTTCCGCACAGTGTGCGGAAAAGGTGTGTGGCAAAGGTTTTTGTCGCACAGTGTGTGAAAAAAGTGTGCGGCAAAGGTTTTTGCCGCACAGTGTGTGGAAAAGGTATGTGGAAAAGGTTTTGCCACACACCGGAAAAAATTTTGCTACACACTGGAAATCAAAATTCAAACCTATTTTGTACCTATTTTCCTCACACATTGCGAAAAAACTTGTACGCAACTCGTGCGGGACGATTTCCCGCACTCGTGTGATAGACTCGCACTCGTGGCCGGTGACGGTAACTCGTACCTTGCGATCACACTCGTGCTACGCACTCGTGTGCTCAACTGGTACTCGTTCCCGTCAACTCCGGCACTCGTGTGAGTCAATCACTACTCGTGCGGGAAATCGTCTTTTCCGCACTTGTTACGTAAATAACTATTTTACTTGTTAGTAATTTTAGCAACATAATTCATTAAATTGTCGAATGAATAATATGTTCCCGCATATGGAATTCCTGTTATTGACTTTGTTCAAATAAGAAAAAATTTGCTAAGATGAGTAGTAATCTGTTACTTTTCAATGCTATTTAAGAATCTTCATTTTTTCACTTTTTTTTAATAGCATAAATAAATTGCTCGGACAAAACGAATAATAAATAAGTGATTCACTGCATAAAAAGAAAAAAAATATGGGTGCAGCACTGTATATTGTTTACGTAATTAATAGACAACTTACTTCTATTTATATTTTCAAAGTCTCCAAAATTAAGTGGATACAGATCATTAGGGTCTTGGATTGGTATAAAATTTTTCATTTCAAGTAAAGAATTCCAATGTTTGTCTACACAATTCTTTACTTCATCGCTGGACAATTTACCCGTGTTTTCAATGTACGTACATATCGCATTTTTCTCTCTAAAAATTGAATGGTTAGTTAAAAATTAAAACTCAACGGTTCAAAATTTTTTGCATATGGTGCTTTTCATACTTACGCAAATACGTAATTTGGTAACAATGTAGAGAAAGCTTTGTATATCACGTATGTTTCTTCATTTACCAATGCTTCTGTATATAATTTCACATCTATATTATTTTTCTTGTACACTCTCAGTGTGTTCAAAATCAGTTCTCGAACCCATGATTGTTTCAACCAAATAATGTAGTCGTTTAGTCGTTCGAATCCACCACATAAATTAAAAAAGAAAACTTTCCACTCATAAGCATCAATGGTCCCAGAAAGAAGTTCGTTTTCTCTTCTTAAACATTCTTCCAGAAATTCCTTCAATTTCTTTTCTAAAACTTTTAGCGGAGCATTCTGTTTGTCAAACATTTTTTCTATGTTGATGGCTTTTGCTTATGTCAAACAAGAAGCACTTGTTGAACTAGAATAGCAGTGTACATAAGATGACTATGCAGTTTGATTGAAAGCACCAATGTAACTAAAATCACTCACTGATACTCTGTGAAAGAAAATATTTTGTTTAATGTACACTGTTATCACAATTATCTGATAAATAAAACCCTGCAAGATTCATTGTTTCATAAGATTGATACAAAAATAAAAAAAAAACCACAATGTATTAAGGGATTTCAGTCCGATCCTTGTAATATTTTCAATTTACGCTAACCGAGCCCAGTACTTTTTTTTGACCATGTCTTTTCTTTTCCTATGGGTATGCATTATTACGAAACGAAAAACACTTATCTCTGAGTAACCAATAAATTATACCAGTGGTACTAGAACACACACACGTGGAAAAAATGATGACTCAAGTACCTACTCAGTTGCAATACTTATTAGGTGAAAAAGGAAATGAGCATCTTTAATTTTCGTCTCTCAATATTAGGTAGGCACACAACACGTGTGCAATATACAACTCTGGACCTACTTAACCACTAATAAGTAAACTGTCAAATTAAGTAAAGAATTTCTTGCTGTAGGATTACTTCCTTTACGGCAGGAGATTCATCAGACCAACTTTTTTTCTTCAACTACTTACTCAGATATTTTTACCGCAACAACTCAAGTTTAAATTTCTTATACGTGTACCTCACACAACTGGTACGAACGATCAGTCAATTGAGTCAATCGAGAAATCAAGATCTATCCTGTCATGGCGGTCATTCTTCGTAAAGGTCTCAGACATGTCTCAGACAATTACAGCGATCCTGTCGATAAGGTTGTAACCTACAATTATCACCTTCACGGTTCATGGGATTCACACGGTTTTATATATTTTTAAAATACTATTGTTTATTTTATATTTACCACGTAACAGATGTATAACGATTTCAAATAACGAGTTTTTTTTATTTTTTTATTTTTTTATATATATAACCCGCTGATTCGTCAGAAAAGCGTATCCATCGCTTTTTTCGTTGTTCCTTATAGTATTTTGTCAAAACAAGACTGTGAAATATCCAGAGTTACTAAATTCCTTTTTTGTTTTTCAATAACGTACAAATTAAAAATTTGATGGACAAACACTGAAAACCAATATCATCAACCACATACATTATTAATTTTTATCGAGAAAAAAAATAAACAGCCATAGTAATTATAATATACTTTGATCATCGATTTATTATTCCTGTTATAAAAAATTGTTTAAAATGAAAATATAAAAAGAGGCAGGCAACCTTGCCTTTTTATATCGCTCGTTTACAAGGTATTTTTTTTTTTTTTTTTTTAATTAACACACCAATGTTTACACGGCAATTGTTGCTCGAAACAGTGACCACTACAAAGACGAGTATCCCACGTATGTACCTACCATAAGACGTACGATTTTAAGACCTTGAATCTGTGTTCAATACAAGTATCGGTAAGAGGAGTATTGATATATATATGTTGTATTTTTGCATAACGGAGCTCGTAACGGAGGAAGAACCTGTTTGTCTCCCCCAGACGATACCCATTACGAACGACATTAGATGCGATGCGACAAAAAACAGTAGAATTTCGTAAATTGTTGAATTGTACACAAATAAAAAAAGATTTTGTCTCAGTTAGATTTTTGGCACACGATACCATGTATTAATTGCACAATACCACGGGCGATCGAACGCGATATATGATGAAATAACGTTGCGAAACGGAAAATAACGAGAGCGAGAGAATAACTACGCAAATAAATATAATATTTCCAACCGAAGTATCGGTTATATCGAGCTTGAGGTTAAGCGGGTCAGCGCACAAAAATATTTATAAGCGCACAAGATGCGATGCTGACAATATACATTTCACACATTTATATGCCTGTTGATGTAGTATATTATTTATGCACCGATACGCGCGTCTTATCAATGCGAGCTTCAAGCTCAGGGGGGTCTTTTTCTCCATCCACTCTGTTTTACGCTTGATTTGTCCAATGAGAGCAAATACTTTGGCACAAAAACTCACATACCTTCAGTATAAATGCAGTGTGGGTGTCAAGTACTTGCTCGCCCGTAATATTTAATTGACTAGAGCCGATCGGGGATACACTAAGCAAGTTAATCTCGCGGAGATAATTTGAAATCGTGCGAAAAGCATAAAGTGTATACCGTTGAAAAACCTTGAACCAAAAAATAAGTAACAACACGAAATTGATAAGAGATGATCGGTAACGCAATCCGCGTATAAGTAGGTGCCGATTTCTAAAAAAAATTTTATAATCCCGAAAGCGATGGAGTGCACGCAACGTGCAACACTTTTATCATCATCACCACGGCCCCTCTTGCCTTCGATAACGATTCCAATGCGATTTGTCGAGTCGCGCGCTCCCGAGAAAACCAAATATCACCCGACATACCTAAACATTGTTAACCAACTCGAGATCATTAAAAGCCGTTATTTCCGAAACACCAGAGCACCGCCAACAACAACAGCTGCAGATGTCGGCCGCTTGCGGGGACACGTCCGAGAGCCGCGGCAGCTGCGACGAGGCGATGGGGCTGTCCCGGCTGCAGCTGGATGACGTGCCGCGGCCAAGGACACAGTCGCAGCTCGAGAAGAGACTGCCGAGGAGCAAAGGCGAGCTCAGGAATCACAAGTCGAGCGGCCTCACCCACGAGTGCGGGGTCTTTGGCTGCATAGCCGCCGGCGATTGGCCACCCCAAATCGACGTGCCACAGGTCATATGTCTCGGTAAGTAAAGACAAAATACACATATGTCTGTGGTAAACCACGCGCACCATGAATCACGTTGGCGATCCTCGTCAGGTCTGGTGGCGTTGCAGCACCGTGGCCAGGAGAGCGCGGGCATAGTGACGAGCGAGGGCGTGTGCGCGAAATCGTTCCACGTGCACAAGGGCATGGGCATGATAAACAACATATTCAACGACGACAGTATGCGCAAGCTACGGGGTAACCTGGGTATCGGGCACACGCGGTACAGTACGAGCGCCGCGAGCGAGGAGGTCAATTGTCAGCCCTTTGTCGTCCACACGGCTCACGGGGCCCTGGCGGTCGCCCACAACGGTGAACTCGTCAATACAGAGTCGCTGCGAAAAATGGTCCTTGGCCGGGGTGTTGGGCTGTCGACGCACTCGGATTCGGAGCTCATCACCCAGGCTTTGTGCCTGAATCCGCCCGAGGGTGAGCTCAACGGGCCAGATTGGGCCGCGAGGATCAAGCATCTCATGCAGCTAGCGCCGCTCTCCTACTCCCTGGTTATCATGCAGAGGGACCGCATCTACGGGGTCAGAGATCCGTACGGCAATCGGCCGCTCTGCATCGGCAAAATCGTGCCCATCAATAATTTAGGTGAGAATCCACGTGTTCCCGGTTGATGGAGGGATTTCTCGATTGTGTGATGTAATTATCGTGTTGATGTGGTTATCAGGACACGATTCGGACGACGACAACATCGAGGCGGAGGGCTGGGTCATATCGTCGGAGTCGTGCGGCTTCTTGAGCATCGGGGCGCGCTACGTGCGCGAAGTCTTTCCGGGTGAGATTGTCGAGATGACGCGGGAGGGCATCAAGACTATCGACATCGTCGAGAGGCCGAACAAGAAGCCCCAGGCTTTTTGTATTTTCGAGTACGTGTACTTTGCCAGGAGCGACAGTATTTTCGAAGGTGAGTATTTTTTGTTGAGGTCAACGAGTTCTTCGGGATTTTCGACGTCGACGAATTCCTTACAGGACAAATGGTGTACTCGGTGAGGATGCAGTGCGGACGCGTTCTCGCCCAGGAGTGTCCGATCGAGGCCGACATAGTCAGTTCTGTCCCGGAATCCGGGACTGCCGCCGCACACGGCTACGCCAGAGAGGTGGACCATACATAGTGTGACTTTATGGACTCGTTGTTGGTATACATGTACTAATACTTAACATTTCCGTTACAGTCCAACATTCCGTTCGCCGAAGTCTTGTGCAAAAACAGATACGTCGGCAGAACGTTTATTCAGCCAAGCACGAGGTTGCGGCAGCTCGGCGTCGCCAAAAAGTTCGGCGCTCTTTCGGAAAACGTCAAAGGCAGGAAAATCATTCTCATCGACGATTCGATCGTGAGGGGAAACACCATTGGCCCGATCATCAAGCTCTTGAAGGACGCCGGAGCCAAAGAGGTACGCGCGATCTATGAAAAAACATTGCCTTTGGAGCGATGAATTTTTGTTTATTTGGAAATTTAGATAAAATGTTGACTTGTGTGGATAGAAAATATCTTTATTATATCAAAAATAATAAAAAGTTGTTGTTTTTCTCTTTCGACAAAAATAAATAAGGTTCACATAAGGATTGCGTCCCCGCCGCTAAAGTATCCCTGCTACATGGGTATCAACATCCCCACGCGCGAGGAGCTGATAGCCAACAGACTCGACAGCGTTCGGCTGGCCAGGCATGTCGGGGCCGACAGTTTGACGTATCTATCCGTGGAAGGACTCGTTCAAGCCGTCAGACACGGTATGGATAATCGTGACAGTAGTTACATCGGTCACTGCACAGCTTGTCTCACTGGCGAGTATCCCGATGAACTTCCATGTGATTTGAATTGGTGAAGATTTCATTTATCCAATAGTTGATAACGAGCTGTTTCTGTAGACAGATAATGGAGTACCTCAATGTTAAAGACATACGTATCTTATACTTACATAATATGCAATAATCTTTTTAGTGTGTGCCTTATGTTGGACTGTTGCATTCAACAATATCATTAGGTGTGTGATTGAAAGTGGCAACTGTTACATTTGGAGTAAATAAGATTGTTACTTGTAAGTTGAAAAAACAAAAAAACTAATGATAAGTTTTAAGTATAAAATTTTATTACGTAAGAAATTATATTTTTATCTGAACTTTAAAAGTAGTTGTTATTGTATACGTGTAAGCATTTAATTGATTAATCGTATCAATTTTTTTACATGATTTTGTTAATGATGAAGCAATACAATTTTATCGATTGATAAAAACAAAGTAGCAATACTCCATAATGAATTATGTGTAATGATTATACAATATCTTTGTTGACATGTACATCTTGGTTAAAAATTATTATGTACAGCTACATATTTTTGTTATAAAAATATCATAATTTTGAGATAGAAAAAAAAATTCTTTCATTGTTATTTACCTTATCACAATTTTCATTAACATGTGATTTCACGCATTAACTATCAGCTGCTTTTTTGACTAGAACTTTTTTTTTTTTTAGCGCCTCCATCCTTTCTCTTATCTCTTTCAATTTTGCTTCACGCCTCTCACGCTTTCTTCTCTGTACATCATCTTCCAAATTGAGTTCCATTGACAACAACCTATCACTTTCACTTGCCGTCACTTCACCAATTTCTATTTCTTCAATTTTGGTTACAATAGGTTTAACTTTCTTTTTCTTGACATGACTATTACTACTTGCTTTACCATTTCTGTCAACTTCGTTGTTTTTAACTAAACTTTTTTGAACATCATTCGTTTCACTCACAGTTTCTAAAGACTCACTCATGTTACTACTCTCCATGTTGGATTTTGTTTTTTTCTTCGAAACCTTAACTACTTTTGATTTCGCAACTTTTGACCGTATTCTCCCAATACTTTTAACTTTCTTTGAGAATGGCTCCCAATCGGTATCATCACTACTGTCAGTATTTTTATTTTCCTCATCTTCATCATCGATCCAGGGTCTACTACTCTTAGAGGTGGATGGTCCAGGGTCTATCACGGTAAATTTTTGGGAAATTTGTGTAGCTGTATTATTGACGTGAGATCGATTTTCTTCTGAAAATTCTCCCTGACCATTGCAATCCGTTCCACGTTCAATTTGATCAAAGTTCTCATGACTAAATTCATCCAGCACGGATTTGTACATGGCAAAAGGATTTTCTTCATCTGATTCTGATTCAGGTTCAAAACCTCTAAGTCTCAACTCTTTTCTAAACTCTTGTTTTTTCAAATAACTGTTCAATGCATTTAGCCTAAGGTCTCTAGAATTTTTCCAAAACGAAAGAGCTAAAAATCAACAATAATTTCAAATATTTGCACCGATTGAAAAAAAAATCGAGAATAAATGCAGACAAACCTTCTTCTTGGTACTTTGGCGGTACTCCAGCCTCCTTCAATGTTTCAACATTGGGAATGCACTCGCTGTGCTTGGAATCTCCCACAACCTCGTACTTTGGTACCAGAAAAGCCCTCTGCATTTTAAGAAGCTTTCTCGTCTTGTTGTAGTACTTCAAACTTGGAATTTTGTCAAATATCTGGTCGTCAAATTCAGGATTCTTGTCCTTTTCAAAAAACAAATAGGTTCCAACAGCATCCTCATAAGTCCCTTCGAAGAACTATGTTTTTTTTTAAACACAACAATCATTAATTTAAAAACTAATCAAAGTAAAAGGGACTTTGAAAGCAAGTACAGTACTTTGCCATTGATCTGCATGACGGGATGGTCGGAGTCCAAGCCCAACATATCCAATTTCAAGTTGTTGTTGCTAAACACGTCGCTCGTAGCGAAATTGTCAAACTCCACGTAGACGAGAATCTCCTCCTCGTCATCTTCTAACTCAGAGTCCGGGTCAGACATGGTTTATCTCGGCGACTATTACCAAACAATTTACAACTTTCACAAACCGAAAACACTGAATGTACCGAAACGTCTGAAACGCACATGGCTTTTTCAGTAAAGGTTAGGGGTTTGTGAACGCTTTGTTTTCTCGTGATGTTATTGGATAGATTGGCCGGTGTGGCTTATTTGGCGGGTATTTCAATAAATCCATTGGTTTATAACTTATATACAGTAACATTTGAATACAGATGATGATAATCGCTCTCACAGCCTTAATGCAACATTATTAAAAAAAATAGATAATTATTGCTTGGACCTATAGTTTGACAAATTTTTTTTCCCAAGCCATCATTCGAAATTCTCTTTCTTGAATATTTATCCATTATATTATATCGACTGGTTGTTCCAATTACAGATTTAATTAAGCGTTGCCATCAACCATTGAAATTTTTTGGACGCTAGTCGTTCACATTCGGTGAATTATCGTTGTTACTAAAATAAAAGAGCTGATGTGAAAAAAAAAAAATCGAACTGTGCACGAACACAAAAGTTTATACCCAATAAATACACAGACTATACACTCTCATACCTTTGTACCAATTATTTTAATCACGAAAACTTTCATTTAATAAATACTTGTATAGGATTTTCAGTAGTTCCTCAAATCCAATTAAAACATGTGTAAATGAAAATTTTTTAATATAATCACAATTAGTTCTAATTTTTTTTTTTTTTTTTT